AAATTCCTCGTGCCACCTCTTCGCGTATCATGTGCTCCTGATACCAGGAGTAAAAATCCGACATTTCCCATCACAATTTTGAGCGGGGGGATTTGCAACATTGTTGAAGTTTCGAGAGAAGCGATTTGCAACATTGTTGAAATTGCGGAATTGTTGAATTATGTGGTGGGCGATTTGCAACTATGTAGCAAATTTTCGAAATTGCACCGCTGGAAATTCCAACAAAGTTGCAACCCAGAAGTTCGGCAAAATGTGACAAAATCCGAAAAATCGACCCGACTTTTGCAACATTGTTGAAGTGCTGAGCCGAGCGATTTGCAACATTGTTGAATTGCTGAGCCGAGCGATTTGCAACATTGTTGAATTTCTGAGCCGAGCGATTTGCAACATTGTTGAAGTTTCGAGAGAAGCGATTTGCAACATTGTTGAATTGCTGAGCCGAGCGATTTGCAATATTGTTAAAGTTTGGAGCGGAGCAGTTGGAACATTGTTAAACCAGGAAATATCACAGATACGAGGCGAAATTATAGGGAAATGTACCAGGAAGTAAAGGGAAATGAACTCCTGATACCTGTTGGTATCAGGAGAAAGAACCTGTGATATCTGAAGAGGTCAACTTACCTTGTGGATCAGGATCACATGGAAAGCGGAAATATTGTACCAGGGATGGAAGGGAAATTAAAGGGAAATGTACCATGAAATGGAGAAAAATTAACGGGAAATGTTGCCGGGATGTGAAGGAAAATTAAATGGAAATGTGGCAGGAAACGAAGGGAAATTGTAGGGAAATGTAGCATGAAATTGATGGAAATTGAAGGGAAATGTGCCAGGAAGTAATGGGAAATTAATAGGGACACGTCACAGAAATGAGAGGAAGTTAACAGGAAGTTTTTAGGAAATGAAGGAGAATTTCCACGAAGCTGTATATGATGTCGCTGTTTTAGAAAATTTAATTAGTACTACATAGAAGAAAGAACACGAAAGGGGAGTAGAGGAGAATGATATACAGTAGATGTACTTCACAATATTGGCGTTTTATTGAATATCTTTTGTATATTCTTCTTTGTATACGTATATGCGTGTGCGCGCGGCACACGTATCACAATTCTCAGGCGTACGTACGCGCACACGCATCCAAAGTGATCCGCGGTGTTTGCTTAAACGGAACAGATTGACTATGACGTCGTTATAACGTACGCACGGAACATGCAGCAGAGTACTCGCACCTCTTGTACGACATACGCAAAATACTCCATTGGTTTACCGATATATCCGTTCTCTTCCCACCGCGAAACGTTCATTTCTTGGCAAAAAAATAAATCCCTTTCTTTCTCCTACATCCCTATCGGGTGTTCTTTTTTTCATTTAGTAACTCTGTGCCGCCGTTAGCAGTCGTAACACTTCTTTACTCGCAGCTTTACAACATTACAATTTCGTATGTATATATTTATAATATGTATATGTATATTTTTTATGTATATATGTATAGTGGCCTCCTTCGCGCCTACGGGTCTCCGCTGTGTATGCACGTTGCGACGCTAAATTATGTATAATATGTATACGCAATGTACACGTGTGTGGTATATACACACATACATACATACCGCCTGCACTGTGTGTATTGAATATATATATGCGTTATATACATGCATACGTGCACACACATCCTCGCTCCTATTTGGAGCGAAACAACTCGTATCTCCCTTTTATCATTTTACACGCGACTTTGTTCAAAAAGGGACACGTTCGCGAGCACGATCTCGCGATACTCGACGAAACGAGCAACAACGGTTTGCAAAAATATACATTATTCTTTATCTGCGACAATTCTTCACTGAGAAACAACGACGATACTACGGGAACTAAAATCTCCTTGGCGAATCAATTGTTACAAGTTAACTTTGTCTTGAACGAAGTAACTTCAAATCTTATTTCAAACGTATACTTGGATCAGAGACAATATTCGATTATGAAGAAAGAGATCGACGCGAACGTGCTCCCTTCGTACCTCTAGTGGCTCGTCGTACGATTAATTCAACATACACGGTATACAGTTGGCTAATATACGATTATGATAGACACACAGCGTGTTGTTGTTTTTGTGGGTTACTTTTGTTGCTCGTGAACGCGGGAACAATGATTAGTCGATTGGTAGCCGATGCGCCCTAATCTTTCAGGATCCAGAGACGGGGAGAGAATTACTTCCACGCATAGTGGCGATTTAGGCGACAGTACAATTAGTAGTGTAAAATTCATTGGTCCAGAGAGTTGTGTGTGTATGTGTTATCGAGGGGTCCTTGTCCTTCCCCTCACCGCTCCGGACCCCTTCTTTTAATTCCCTGTCATTTCCGTTTGTTCTAGATGTGGCGGCCCCCCCCCTCCCCCCTTCCCCCCCGATGATTTCTCACGACAGGCCGCGAAACTAGAATGTTCAGATTACGCCAACACGGTGGATATGTTTATCTTTCGACAACGTCGCTTTTCCCCTCGAAAAAAAAAAAAAAAAATGGAACGAGTGAGTCAGATGAATTCGATTTGTCTTTTCTTTTTACATTTTCGTTTCTGATATTCAAACCGCGTTTCGTTACAATTACTCTGACGACCATAGTTCGGGCCTAGCGATGTAAAAATTCGGTGATCGGAGAACAGGTTTCGCGATCGATGGTAACGATTGATTTCATTGGCTGATACGTGATCGTACATCGATGCAACGTGGTAGGAATGAGTCTGTGTTGAACGTAAAAGATCGCTCGACGAGCGCGAAGTGTTCAAGATTGAAAAGAAACGATATACTCTGGAGAAAACGCGAGGATGAGTTGATCGTGCCTCGGTCGAAACGATGCCGATAGTGTAAAAAATGTGTTTAGAATATCGTTTCGCGGATTACGCAGGAAAGATTCGAGTCTTGTACGTATTTCGTGTTTGCAAGTGGAACACGGCGATAGATCTACGTGTGTATTGGTTCGTTCTCTCAATTAAAAGAATCCTAAATGAACCGTGCGCGATATTTACATTAAATAGCGCAACACGAACAATAGAGCACGCGGAATATAACGAATAGAATGTTAAAATTGAAAATATAATTTTATAAAATTTTGAAAGAAATTGTAATTGACGCTCCCATGCAGGCCCTAGAATTATCGGTTACGGTTAATCAAGTAAATCGAAAGTGAGAAGCAAATATTTTAACAAAAAATTAGAAACGGCGAGAACGACTCTTCTCTACATTTCTAAGGAATTTTGTTGTTGGTACGAGTAGCTGTCTATATGTGTACAACAGACTATAATTGAACGACATAACGCGAATCTTCGATTCTTCCAAGTATCTAACGCACCGATTCTCTTGTCTTTTGCGTTCGAACACTTTGACAGATTCCTTTTTTCCGCGTTATGTCATATCGAGACATGTAATCGTGTCTTATTAATTCGTGATTATTAACAACGACGACAACAATATCTAGCTAAACACTGAAGAACATCGAGTTTTTCTTTATGCGTGTTCAATCCCTGCGATCAGTCTGAATCTAATTGACAATGTGTATACCAAAGGTCTTCGCCTCGACGTGTAATTTGTTTCTTTGTCTTCGTCGTTATTTTACGTTCATTGTTTTTTTTTTCATTTTTTTTTTTTTGTGTTAGTACGTTAACGTCCACTAAGTAACTATGAATATACATATACTTTGCGATTACATTAATTTTTTTTCGCGTGAGCTTACTTTGCTTTTAGCAGAGATTCTTACTTCCTCTAACTCCTACTACATTTCGTACACGAACGCTGAAAGCTATACGCTTATATTGATTGTTTCTATGTTTAACGGATAACTAATTCCAACTTGTCCAAGATAGATGAGCGTACTACAATTTTCCTTTTTCACAATCGAGGAGCAATTGATTCTCTGTTAGAAATGGGTCATCGACGATTCGAATCCCTTGACTGTCAGGTTCATCGATACCACTGTAGTATCTGTATTGTGTATTTACAACGAAATACACTTGATCTATACGAACTGTTACCGGTGAACAGAAATTTCTAGTTTTTAATGACTTTAAATGCTCGAAGATTAGATATGTTATCGGAAAGATATGGTTAGACGAAATAACGTAAAACAAAAGTATTGCTTCGATTAACCGATAAGGAAGTCTGACAGCAAAAGGTTACCATCCTTCAACAGTTTGGAGAATCATCTTCGCATAGTTCGATACGTACATTGGAAAGTGTCATCGATCTTGGCTGCTCAAAACCTTTGCAGCGTCTCGCGAAACGCTTGGCAAGACAAATTCATTCGTACAACGGTCTTGCCATTGCAAATCGGAGCGTCGAAGATCGTCAGGTAACGTGCAGCGTTCGAGCTCGCGCATAATATGTCGCAATTGATCGTACAGGAAAATGTATCGTCGTTAGTTACGATTAAAATCTCTTACCGATTTCGTATGACACGCTTAATATACGTCTACAATTTCTTTGTGGAGGCAGTTGCATATATTTTAGATTAGATGACACCTAGTGTGCTGGAAATGTTCCTACGTTTTGGTATGGAATACGCTTCATTCAGAAGAAGAAAAAGAACCGTTCCAGCCAGTTGACGAGAGTACGACGACACTATACATTGTCACGATATTTACAGTTAAAAGAAAACCTCTCTCGATATTTCCATCGACAACGAGTTCGTAGAATTCGTGATACAGCGCTCACAGACGTAAAGAGATCGCATTTCTAAAACTTTGGAAGATAATCGCGGTAAACACAAAAGAGAACATAAACAAAAACAAAAAACCAAACGAAAAAGTGTTTTATCAGACACACATAATTTTTTTTTTTTTATTTCGTTATAATATACATTTATACCGTGATCATCAGCACGAAGGCGAGGATTGCGAATCCATTTCTCAAAAACGGAAAAGAAAATAAAATCGCCACGGTCAAGCACTTCGCTTTTCTATCCCTTTTTTATTCGAATTTGTATTGTCTTGTCTTTTTCAATCGAGATTCCACGACTCAGTTTGTGTTGAACCGTTCTACCGCGAAAGGATAAGCACCGTTACCGAGTGACACGTGTTAGAAGCGACTCGATACGTTTGTTAGAAGTTTCTTTACCACGTTAGTATCACAAGAGTACGCCTAAACGCCTAATTTAAAGCCAGAGACAACGCTACGATCGATACGCGCCGCATTCGGTGTATGAACGTACTCGAAACTAATCTAAACAAGCCGGTAGTAAGCTACGTTTAAATACATTTTGTGCTTTCCTTCACTCTTTTTCTTTTTCTGTTTGAAACCGTGCTCCATGGAATTTTGCTACTATCCGACAATGTTTCTTTTTCGTATTTTTATTTTTTGTGAGTGCGTTTCGTAACCAGTGCACCGGATACACTTGTCTCGTTAAAATCTACGATTCTCTCGGTCGATTTCACAGTCTTAGTAATTCTTCAAACCGTCGCCCGTATTATTGCGCTGCTTTTTTTTTTTCAAACGTTACCCCAGTTAATATCGATTTCGTGAACGCACAAATTTTTGATTAACGTCACAAATTTAAAAAAAAAAGCAGCTCTAGAAATACCGAAGATCGAAAATCGTAGAAACGACACAAGTTAGAAACTGTTCCTAGTAAAATGGAAGGAATGTCAACGGTATATTTGCTACGGTATAAAAGGGCGTTCATCTTTCGTTTTTTTTTTCTTCTCGACGTAACATCTCGTTGTGGAGCCATTAGAAAATCGTTCTCAAGGGAAAAATCAATTTATAAAATCGATTATCAAAACTTCTTTTCCTAGGTAGCGATCGTTCTACTAAACAAGTGTACAATCCCTCGACGCTAGGCTACTCCCTTTACGTTCAACAACGGAAATTTGTGTTTACAAAGCGGTAGAAACGGTGGGTGACACAATCAATTGATCCTAATACAATATAGAGACTATAAGCTCGTGAACAGTCTCGTGGTCGTGTGTGAATTAGTCGTTTTATCGCGGTAGTCAGAACCGAGTGAAATGTATCATTGCACGATATAGAAAACAGAAAGGAATTGCTTTTTCTCTTTACGCGAGAAATGATTTCTTCCTTATTTATCCGTCCATCAATTAATTAATACTGAAACAAAATATAAGAATACATCGAGCACAAATCCCATAGAGGGTTCATTCATCTACAAAAAAAGAGAAGTGGCTGTGCTTTCACTCGGCTCTGATTACACATAAAACTTCTACAGCTGGGATTGTACCGTGTTCTAGCGTAGGGAGAGAAAGAGAGCGAAGCGAGGCACAGGCGTGTGTGTTCGTTGTGGTCACTCGAGACTCGAGAAGCACGTTTGTTACCGTTTATCAAAGAATATCAGCCATCGCTGACAGTTTAATCGCAAATTCTTACACGGTCTGCTCTTTGTTCACGTAACAGCGTAAAAGATCAGTACGAACTCTATTTTTTGTCTAAAGCTTACTTGTTCTCAGATCTTGGATCGTTTACATCAGGCTCTGCGATCACGCTTCCAGAGTATCATTCAGTGTTTTGCTTGTATCTGTATAATTGTGTACACGGTGTATATGTAGCCGGCGTGTGTCCTTTTAGGATATACGTGAGACGAGCTACACAGGTGGTATTTTAGCAACGTTTTATGTTTTTTTCTTCGAAATATGCTGCTCCTGTAAAGTTAACTGTACCGTTAACACGATTGGTAATACATATATTTACATTGACTATCTACAATTATCTACACATCAACAAACGGTTAGCTTAAACATTTCTCATGGTGTCGTGTTTTATTTTTCTATCATCTTCGTAGTTATCATCATCATCCCGATTCTGAACATAATTTCCTAATTACCGCATACTTATCACATCTCTCTTTCATCGTCGTTCTATCAAGCTCGTCCGATCCATTCACGCTTACACATTCTCTCAGTTTTGTTTGCGATCACACCGATCGTCGACGATCGTGATTCACGCGACTAGTTCGAAACGACGACCTTCGGGCCCAACGAATACACTTTATACACGATCGTCGTCGTCGATCCTTTTAATAATCTTGAAACGACACGCAATCTTTAAATCAAATTTCTAAACGACTCATTCAACGGAAACGCGTTTATATGCGTGTGTGTGTGTGTATATATATATATAAAAAAATAAAATAAATACGCCAACTTAAAATAGAAAAACAAATAGGACAGCTAAACGATAATCGATAATTATATAATAGTCCGTGGGTCAAGGTTCTGGCTTGACGTTGCAACATCACATCGTCGCCATTGTTTTCTTCATCTTCAAGCGTTCCCCTTCCTTTTCGGGGATTCGTTTATCGAACAGAATCACAACTCTTCCATTCGTCTCTATACACTGACAGTTCCCTGTTCCTCGGTCCGTTAGAATGTATCAGTAGTGGATCGAGTCAGCCGGTAGGTAGGTAAACTCGTTAATCGAATTAATCTCCTCTGGTAATGTCTCTTAGAAATTGTAGTCTTCCTGTGATCTCTCCTGGGTACGATAAACCTTCACGGGACTATCGAGTTCAGGTCAAATTAGGCTGCGGCGAGGGAGTAGTCCTGGACAACGTGTACGAGGAGGCCGTATCCTATATAAACGCCCAACATTCCAGTGTTTTCACTACGAAATCCTCGCGCGGTGCCAGCGGCTCGTTTCCGTACGTGCTGCAAGATTGCGTTCTGCCTTGGTACAGATCACCGTCCAACCATAGTCCAAATTTGCCACTGGAAAAAAGACACGTATTCCATTAACGACAACGCGGGTACACGAGCTGTTTGTACAAGAACGATACTCACTCTCCAGCGCCTATGGCAAGACTCTCATTGTTGCCTTTGATGAAGTACAAGTTATCGCCGGTCCAGTTGAAGGCTTGGAACCTGGGCGTAAACCTGAAGAGGAGGGACTCTCCGGTTCCGTAAAAGTGGTCGCTAACGTGCAAAGCGCAGGATGTCAATGCTCCGAACACCTGTAACCACAGAAAATAAACCAATTGACTAACAACGTACGATTAATTAATCGACTGACGTTTGTGCTTGAAGCGTTCGTCTACAACGAACAAAGCATGATTCTATCGCATGACCGTGCGTTTCTCTCATCTACCAGATCAAATAGACGACAATATCTCCGAGTTTCGAACGGTGAATTCTCTTTCGCGTGTAACTACAAATGTTCAAATGCAGAATTCGTGGTAATTTTCAAAGCGCCGCGTCACACACTCCACGCTATTATATCGGTAGCCATTGTCGCTAGAGAAACAGTGACGATTCCTGCACGTTTTATCGCGTCGAGGGTGCACGAACTCGAAATTCGAAAACAAAGAACATCCTTCACCTCGACGCTCTCGCAAAAGTGGAATCAACGGTACATTCAACGGATAGAAAGGATGATGGGTTGGGTGTAGCCAATTCTGAAGACGAATAGCTTCGATAATGGAAGAACCGAATCGATGCAATAACGATCCTACTCTATTCGGTCGCAACCAACGTGTTCGCTGTCGAGTCTCCTAAGTCAAAGTTATACCGATCAAAGTATGGGTCGAGGACACTCGTAGCTGTCCTAATTCGGATACGAATCAAGGACTCCCGAGTAAGAACTGTCTAGAGTGTCTAGACGACGCTCATGTAGGTCAGGGAACGGTAAACTTGTTAACGTGTCCGTTGATCCTATTACTCCCAGGTGAATCTATAGGCTTTCCAAATCGGTTCCAATTGATATATGGATCAGGGACTGTCCTGGTCAATGCGTAGTCTCTAGAGTAAACGAGACGATATGATACTCACGTTGCCTTCGGTGTCCTCGATGACCAGGAGAATAGGACTCTCTATTTTGGCCATCTTCCTGTACATGCTGTTGAGACTGAATCCGTGCTGACTGGTGCTGAAGACCAGGGTCCATAGGTAGCCCTCCGCCCTAGCGGGTAAGTGCCGGCACAGCTGTTCTCTGTGCTCGTCGCTGAGGATTTCTGTAGTGCCAACCAAGTCTGGCACGATCACGTCGTTGTCCAAGGAGACGGCACTGTTGGCGTACAAAGCTCGCCTGAGCTCCTCGCTCATAGACAGTACCTGCGAACGAACGAACAAATTATCAAGGCGGTCCAAACGGAGCAGTGCTAGGGAACATATTCCGGATAGAGTCTACTCGAGATCGATCACCGAGTTCATCAATCTCTCGAACCACTAATAACAACGAAACCTTTGCGATCAATAAAATCGATTTAACGTTAAACATTGTTTTATCAGCAGGAAGTCCCATTGCACTAGGATTCTTCCAAAGTATCTTTCGATGAGATACTCGGTGATCTTATTCAATCGTGTATGTTACGTTCTATATACCAAAGACAGTACTGGTTGCAACTATAGGGATTTCATTGGTTTCTAAACCTAAATCTAAATCTAACACAGCCAACACAGACTACTGTATGCATTCAAGTGTCGTGTTGTAATTGTTGACATTGTTTCGCAATTGTTCGAAAGCTTCGTGTACCACGAATAATATATATATATAAACAGAGAAGAATGCGTACCCCGTGCATCAATGTTTCCGATTAATTATTTAGGTTGTTTATCGGGTCAGTTCGAGTTTCATCGTTTCTAACGGAAACTCGATACAACCGTGCCTAGCGTATCGATAATCCGCGGTTCCAATTTTAGAACAATACGAGAGGTTCTGTCACAGTTCGTCGGAGAAAGTTTGCCGTAGTTAGTGGAAAGTTTACGCGAGTTGGCGGAAAGTTTTCGACGAACCCTGTTCTCTACTCGGATTAAGCGATAGGTTGCGCTCACGCGAGGCGTTGTTATGCATTGATGCAAATGCGCACGCGGTGAATCACATTCGCGCACCTGCCCTGAACGACATAACAATTCCACGCTGTCTCCCGCGGGATTACGAGCTACGAATCATCCTGTTGCTTCGTTACGGCTTTGCATCTCATCCATTAATATTACGAAAACTACGTAACTCATTAGCGAATGCCGGAGTATTCCACACGCGCGAACTTTTCGAAGCAGTGGGATTTTCCTACAACAACCCTGTGGAATCCTCGCACTTTAATGGAAGCTAATGACGTATGGCTTTCGGAGTCTGGACGGTTTGGAATTTAAAAAAGCTTCACGTGGTTCTGAATCGAAAGGTTATAATGCAACTTCCACGTATCGAGAAATAAATTCCGTAGAAGGATGAACGAAATCCTAGATGCAATTCAAGGATCACGCGTTTATTAATATCTCCGTTGCTGAACGGTCGCGGAGAATGAATCGATTAAATGTACCGTATCCTTCGGCAGTAGTATAACGACATCGTTAAGAGGTTTTGCGTTACCGGTATGGTTAATTATTCATTTGCGCGCGGTGATCTCATTTGCTTTTATCGTACGAACAAACACCGTCGTGTAAAATTATTAACAGCAGAAATGACGCAACCGCGTAAGCCATGTGCCAATACAATAAAACGGGAGGAGATGGTACGCTGAATAATTGTTAAGTAGTCCGCAATAACAGCATTGATAATGAAAGATAAGATTGATATCCTTTTGCTGGATAGCCTGATTCGTTTGTGAAAATTTATGTCGATAATTGGAGAGAAATTCGATAATTGATTGGAAGCGGAAAAAAGTAAACAAGGCTCGGTTCGAACGAGTACGAGTGTTTATTTTTCTCGTACGCGGTCGGTAAAGCATTAATTTCAATGCGGACAATCGCGGTTCATCGAGGGGTCACGGTTGATTATACTCGCGAGATCCCCCTTTCACCAGGAAAGATAACCGCGCTCTTTTCGGTCCATATTTACAAACAAAACGTGTTTATTCTGGTTTTCCGCGGGTATTCGTCAATTGAAGCGAGGCCGTGCCAATTAAAATCGCAACGATTTTACTCGATTAGAAGATCGAGGTGTCAGCGGCGTCTCCAAGGACGAATCGAGTAAACGAACATAAACAAAACCACGTGACCGCGCGGTAGATCCATTTCGACGAAAACACGTTCCTCGAGCCGCGACGATAACACCCCAACAGTCTAATAAAGGGGGAATTTTATCCAATTTTTGTGAAATAAATCTGCAATCTACATACGTGTTTACCTTGTATCGAGAAAAAAAGTACGACCGAGGGGAACGAACTCGCGCTCTCCCGATGTGTTTTTGCAACAATTCGACCGAACAACAACTATCGAACGCACGTGTCCTCGATCGTTCACGCATCGTCTCTTATCGCGAGAGCTTCCTTGACCCGTGACCCTCGCCACGCTCTATCTCGACATTTACCAAGAAAAACTTGGCCGCGACATGATCGCACAGTTTTTGACATCGGTCCGTCGATGGTACATCGGAGGAGGATTCGTTTCAGAATGCGATCTTCTCGCGAAGTGCGAGCAAATTGTTTTTCATCCACCGATCGCCGTGTACACGCTATTTTAATTTGAAATTCAGATTTCCCGGCTGATCCTCTCAGCGTTTATCGTGGCTCGCGTGAACCTATCAATAACAAAACAAGATTTCTCTGCGTTCAGCGCATTCGCTCGACCGAACATACGATATTCGAGGTCGTGGTGGCAATCGAGACGCACGCTGGAAAAATATACTTAAAGTCACGTGTTTACGCGATCGCAAACCCGATCAGACCGATGTTATACGTGTCAAGTGTGCAAAGCAGTTACTTGAGTAGTTACGATTGAACGCGTTAAGACCTTATTTTAGGAATTTTGTTGCCTCACCGACAGCATTCTGGACGAGTGCTGGAAGACGTAATTAAGAGTTGGACAGGAATTGGCGATCATGGTGGCTTCGATAGCGTTCTCCGCGTTTGAACTCGTCGAACTTCCACCCGTCTACACAGAATTCCTCCCACTGACGCGACCCGTGAACCGTTTGTAATTACTCGAAAGCGACGATCTTCGTCGTTCCCTGAGTCGATACACCGCGGTTGATTCTTTTAGCGAGTCCGACTGACTCGGTGAATCGCTCAGCACTGAGAGTCGAAGGAGACACTCGAACCGATCTCTACGAAACGACCATCGACAAGTTCGTAAAAAACCTTTCGTCCAGTTTCCACCCTCCCCTCCCTCCCTCTCTCTCTCTCTCTCTCTACAGCTTAATGTCAAGTACAAGCGAATTCCACTGGGTGTACCTCGAGGGACTCGAGCACCGCGACCTCGCATGATTATTCCCCACCGACCTTCGATACGACTTCGTCGACAATGATGAGACGGTAATAAGTCGCGGGAAGCTGCTTTCGAAGGCTCGTTTCTGGTTCTTAATCGGCTCTTGTGCTCGTAAACTCTCGTCCTTAATTTACAATTCCGCGGAAACCACTACAGAGACAATAATTGCGTTCAGGCGGCTCGATTGACCATCGAAACCGAAACAAGAAACGCGGAACGGATTCGATTTTGGAATCGTTTCGGCAAAAAAACTCGTTCCGTCCGAAGCGTTTTCCACCCACTAACGCCGATATACCGTATTTCCTCTGCCATTTAAGAAAGAATTATCAACTCGCATCGTTTAAAGAAGGACTGTGTTCACAGCGTCGACGATTGATGATTATAAACACGGATGTCCAACGCGAGAGCATTCTCGCGGAAAAATGTTTTTCTTTTATTACTAACGGCTTGCATTTCCGAATACGTCCTCGTAAACTTGCGTGTAACAACTATTACCGGCGATTTAATGGCGCGATTATGCTCGCCGTTGATTCCGCGACAATCTACGACGCTCGGACTCGAGTATGACTGCGTTCGATTACAATACGAATATCGACCGTACCAGTCGAGGGAAGTCTCTGGCGATCGGAGATAAAAAATGAATGTCGAAGAATCGGGAGAACATATGTTTCTTTAATCAACGTAATCGGTTGCGTTAGAGGCGAGTGCATTAGAGACGAGTTCGAGCGAGGAAAACACTCGAAGAAAATTAGAAGTAATTTTGCTGATTTATATTTTTAATAAACGTTGAGATTATTGAATCCTTCGAGTATCGCATAAATATTCATCGACCGAGTAAATTACACGTACACGTTTTCGACCATGTACTGGCCGTATTTCTTACGACTTGTATGCAATTATAGATGAATTATGGATATTTTTTTATATTCGAAGATGAGTGCACGGTCGAAAATGTTTATGTAATGTATGGAAAATTTACTCGTTAGTCGATGAATTAATACACACTGATTGTGAGAGGCAATTTCAACGTTTGCCGAAAGAACAATTCACGAGAATCGGGAACAAGAGACCGATATAATAATGAACGAACAACTCTATCCTATCCGTATAGAATGCTCGAAGTTTAAAGCAGCCTTCGACTATGGCTCGCCTTTGCGCAATTAGACAGACCGAATGTTGCGACACGTTCGCTTTCTCCTAATATGCTTAATAAAGACGTTCTGTAAATACTATCGAGTGAACATTATTTTTTCAACGCATCGCACTCGACGAAGAGTTATTAAGCGAGCCATTACTTATCAGCTACCGCAAAGGAAAAACGATAACAGATCAGCGACGCGCGCGCGCGATAGTTGCCAGCACGTTAATTAGAATGTTAATTAAAGCAAACAGAGAATCATCGATTCGCCTTGATCGGGAACGGATAAGTGAACGCGCGTCGTTGCGCGATTACGGTTCAATTACAAAATAGCAGAGACCTACTGACCGGTTCGTCTCTTCGAATTATAGTGCAACGAGTCTGTGGAATTTCGTAGGTGGTTCGTAAGCGCCGAATCACGCAATTTACGATGCGTGTCGGTTCATTTCGTACCTCGTCTCAGATATCATCCTAATCCGTACGACCTTTCGTCGCGAGACCCATAATCGTATCAATTTTTCAATTACGCGAATTCGTAAAATTAATTAATTACATAGCGGGTTGTTTCGCGTGATATCTGTATCTACAATTCGTCGATGTCCAAACTTCCAATTTTTTCGTGTTTTTTTCCAATTTTCTTTCTTAACATCGATTTATCCGTCGACTCGCGAGTCATTTGTTTACAGAAAGTCTGTTGTTCGGGACTCGCATTGCTAACCTTAAAAGGAACTAAAACCGACTCCAAGAGCGCTCAAGATTCAAGGAGATCAGGAAACAGCGTGCATCGATATGCGAAGGGTGACCACGAGTTTGTTATCGACAGTTCGTTACCGAAAGGTGCTCGAACGAATTCGTCGAAATTCTGTGAATATTCGCGATCGATTCGAAGTTTTCGATAGGCGTTGGTGACCGAAAGCGTACTCGATGGCTTATTACATCATCGTAAACATAATATTTAGATTATTACGTGCACGTTACACTGCTACTCTAATATTTGCGTCACGACCATCGCCGTGTGGTCAGCTGGCCTGTAATAAAGTTGCGAAGTAAATTGCCTCCGTGAAATTTTTATTACACAAATTCTACGATATCTGTTCCGCGAGAACAGCAGTTAAAACATTCCCGATGATAAACACACGTTGACCATAAAATTACCGCGAAACTCTTTCTCACAGATTAGTTAAAAATAAAAGCTAAGCGTTTCGTCGGTTTCTGTTCGGTGAAAACGGCAAACATCGTGGTACATACGAGCACTCGCGAATGCTACTGATTCAAGCGTCTATCGGTCGTTCCAGAACGAGCCCAATTTCCATAATTTCTTGATCGGTTATCAAGGCTCCTCCGCGATTTTTCCACAGCTCACCTGGGTAATTAACGACGGGACAAAAATTCAACGTCTTGGTTTATCGAATATTCCCCGATGATCCGTGTTTTTTTTAACGTCGGGAGTGAATGCATGGGCGCCGATTTATTTTAACCGAGCTTCTATATAGCTTCGCGTGAATTGAAACACGTCCAAGTTTCGAGCTTGTGCCAAACGCGTGTCGAAACGAGAATTTCACGACACGCTCTTATCCGTCGACGTCGGTCCCGCAATCGTTAACGCCGACGCGCGAAGCGTCCGGTAATTTATATTTGAAGAAGCGTAGAAACGTGGGCGTGTCCCTGCTTGTCCATGTTGCAAGACGAAAGAAAACGCGTAGCTTTTATACGAAGGCAAGCGAAGATCTTCTGACTCGAGTCGAACCGACCAAAAACGTTTGCTTTTTCTTGTACAATTGTTGTAATTTCACGATTTACATTTTATTCGATTCGGTACTTTCTTCGCTTCGGTGTTCGATGGGAATCAAGTACTCGATACGCGTATCAAACGCACGGCGCGAACGATATTGCTCTTTCTTGCGCCGCGCAATTTCACGATTCGCATTTTACTCGATTCGGCGATTCCTTAACCTCGATGCAAGTGTATTTGATGGGAATCAAGTACTCGACACCGCGTATCAAACGCACGGCGTAAACTCTACAGCGGTAGGGCAGAACTCTGCCCTTCTAGAGGGTTCCACCCTTCGTTCGGTCTCGTTGTCGCGCAGGAGGAAGCCCGATTGCTCGCTAGTTTAAGAGGACACGAACTCGTTGTTCCCTGTTTATTATTGGAGCACGCATAAACGAAACGCTCGTATCCCGTTTATGCAGTTAATGCCGTCAAGTGTCGTCGTTGCGTAACTTTGGTGGGAGATTGGCCGTGTTCGAGCGGATCGTGTATCGAACGCAGCCAGATTCTGTGAAAGGTGGACCTAGGCGCGGCCAAGGACCGGTTGCAAGTAAACAAGCGAGGTGCCGCATTTTTCTGACCGTCGCGTCGTACACGCTGAATACGTATTCCAACGAATAGCTTCGCTATGAATGAATCCTCTATGCAACCCGCAGAGATAAACAAAATGCTCGAATAAGATGTCGAGTCGATGATGCATCGGGGTGGTCTTCGGCCAAAGGGATGTATCGCAAGACTCGAATTTTTATAATCTAGGTGCAACGACAACGGCGTTCGTCTAGTTGGAAAAAAGCAAGTCGACCGCGAAAAATGCGGTGTCATAAATCGGCATACGTCGAGCGATTTATTCGACGAGCAGAGAAAATTTAACGTTATCTCCACACATATATGCGAGCAGTTACGATTTGTCGGCGTATACGAACGTGTTTACCAGCGTCGTTGCTCTTATACGCATTCCATATTCAGTGTTATTCTTTCAATACTGAATTATGTATGCGTGGTAAAAGTCCGTCTCGAGTACGTGATTTATCGGGAAACGATATTCCCGAGGAATCGAGCGTACAGTCGAAGAAAGAAAAATCGCGCGAATAATGGAATCGTGGAACCGACGTTCGATTTTGGAAAATGTGAACCAGATGCGAGTCCTATTTACGCGTCAACGTTTATTACAAGAATCATATTTACCTTCGTCCTTTGTTTCAGGAACTTGGAGAGCTTTGTGATGGGGTTGGGAATCTTTGGCTTCGGCATTTTGACTAGAACGGTTCGCCTTCGACACGAAAAAAACTGGTTCACTTTCTCCGGCAGTCTTTCGTTTTGTATCACAGTTACTCTCGCGAAACGCAGTTTACATAATGCCCGTGTTTCGCGCTTTAACGTCGGTCGAGGACCTCGCTAGCACCGCGTTCGATCGCACGAGAAACTTTCTAGAAGCTAACGGAGACCGGCGTAAAATGTTGAATATCACCGATGCTGAAGATACGTATCGTTCCAAGTTTCGCCGAATTCGCTACCCCCGGTGCTGTTCGAAAACACTCGGCACGAGAGGAGCTTCCACGACGTAAATTTTTCGCGGTGCGACGCCGTTTACTGTATTCGTCCTGGATGCCGGGCAATAAAATCTTACGAGCTCTTTCTCGACGATTTCGAGCTACGATCACATCGAGCGTTTTTAATGAAATTTATCGGGTAGGTACGAGCGTTTCTACCAACGAAGAACAATTGATACGAATTTAACGATTAGTAGTTTAGTCGTGGCTTTGACAGTTCTTGTGTTTATCGCGAGACACGCCGCGAGTGGGACATGCGCTTCACTTCGACGAGGACTGAAGCAACACTGAAGCTTCACGCTTTCGGGGTGAATCTAATAAGCGTTCCAAAGGGAAAGGCGTGGCGGGGAGGGGTGGTGCGGCCGGAGCTTGTGCAGAGCGCATTGCTATCGCGCAGCACGTGGCCTGTCGGCCGTACACCGAGTACTGTTTCTTTTTTTTTTTTTTTTTTTTTTCTTGTCGCGTTACGACTCCGTTTTGGATCTGTGCCCGATATAAGTCACGTCCACCGATTGTATTTTTATCCGGTGACTATTGACCCCTTTGCGAATAAATAAAATATCGCTTTTGTTCGATAAGCATTGGGTAACTTCGATAGGATCGATAGTATAATTTTCTGTCCCGTACGTACTAGAACCGGGGAGAGAAAAAGGACAAAGAAACGGTGAAATCTGACCTAAAACCGAAGGGTCCCGTATGGTGTTTCAGAAAATTCAATGCTCCATGGCGAGCGTAAGGTTTTATGGTTCTGCAACGCGTGCACGTGACCAACGGTACGTGTAAACGGTCACGTCCGCTTTCAGTGCAACCATAACATAAGTTCCGGCAGATAAGAAGATTTTTGTTGAATAATTATTCTCGATTAATGTATCTGCCACATCCGACCCAATCCGTGATCGTTAAAACGGAGGAGATTGCACGATTAGCTTGTAACCGATCGAAAAATATTTAGAAAAATGTTTTTTTACCAACGTTACAAATTTAAAGGTACAAATTTAAAGGTATTTTACGGACTATAAGACGCACCTTAATTTTTAAGCTATTTTAATATACCGCTTACCGCGGCATCGAATATATTTTCAAGACGCGGATATTTTAAATCAAACATTGTACATTTTTATATTAATTTCAAAATACGGTAAATCGAATACAATGCATCCCAATCTTCTCGCGATTGATTTTATCTTAGACGTCACGATTTCGCGCTAAAACAAATGTATTTGTGGAAGCTTACAGTACTGAGGTCCGTTGCTTCGCACTGCATGTCGAACAAGTGGCCACAAGTATTATTAGCAACTCTTAGGTGCCACTGTCGTATTTATAGTACACTTTGTAACGTTGAAAAAAAAACATACCTTTTCATCGAGTGGTCATTTTTCTCGCTTTCATTATCGAATGAACGCATAGAGTACGAACACCAGTTTTTAGAACGCAACGACCTGGTACTTAACGGGTTAATCTGCGCGTACTATATCGTTGAAAACTTATCGTTGTTATCTGTAGGGGTATTAAAAGTACCGCGCAGCACGAAGTTTCTGGATTCTTGGTTCGACGTGGAACAGGATCGACCAATAGTTAAAACAAACGAAGCGACACGCGATAAATCTAACAAAACAATAATCGACTGTTTTTTCCATCGGGGAAGACACAATTCTTACTATCGAATTACTCGATTACTCTTCACGGCTCGATACACCTGTATCAACTCGAACGGACAATGTCGAACTTCCGCGATGCACGATCTTTGTCGTTAATTCAATTACGATCGACGATTAATCTAAATAAATGTACGTTTCGTGACGCAGAGGCGTACCTGCATCGATAATATTGTGGCGACGCTGACGCAATTATACGGAATTCCTTTTGGTCGGAATCCCTTGGTCGCGAAAACGCGATACGAAAATATTTTCGCCCAATAATGCAACCGAAAGCGCAGCGACGATAAACGTAATCGAGCTCTCGATTACAACGGCTAACAAAGCGCTAGAAGGAATGTAGGCTGACGCGAAGTTAATTCTTAACTAGCGTTTGCTTCGCGAAAACCAGCTGCTCGCGTGCAATCGACCTATCGCAGTTGTCGCTTTCTGTTCTCGTCGTTTAAAGGCCGCCGTGAAATATGCACACCGTTCACGGTCCCTGAAGTTCGAAGAAACTTCAGCGAAGAACGTTCGACGAAGTTGAAACGTCACGACGTCGAGTGCTGCGAGCTTTTCTGTTTCTTTCATAACGCCCCTTGTGCTACATAAATTCAATAACCGTACCTTGCCGGTGAAGCAACTATGATTGTTTACCGAATAATCGTCAAGATTATGCAGATTGCCGAGATCAATCTGCCGACTGTACATATCTCGAACGTCTGGATTGCGCGACGGATAAATAAACAATGAGAGAATTTTTACAGGCGCGAGGTGAAACATGCAAAGATAATTTTCCTTGGTCAAATTTTCCATCGGTTTACGCGACCTAGTTGTGTCACGTACGCCATGGTAATAAGCATAACAAGGACCTAGACCGACACATATTAATCCTTCGGTGGAGCAGTCCCTGCTTTGTAACACCCAACAGACCGAGACAATGAAATTTAGGTACCGTAAAAGGTAGGCATAAAAGTTCCGATCGGAGCTTGGATTACCGTCTTAGAAGCTATCCACAAACGTTAAACCTGCCTTGGATGACTATTGAAAATCTGGAAAATACTCAAAGGGTCCAATTAGAGGGGTAAACAACTGCGAGTAGAAATTCCTTGCGCAAAAGTACCTGATATACGACACAAAAGAAGATACTAGAGCAGTCCCAACCCTGTGTTCGATCGACATAGAAAAGAGACACGAGGAGAATATAGGAAAAGAAAAGTCACGCGATAAGTGTAGATTTTGGTTGGCAACGGCGAGGCACATTTTCGCGCCTAAAACTGTGCCCAACAGATGGAAAAAACCCGAGTCGAAGGAATGTATTATTTACTCTGTCCGAATCGAGCAGCGCGTTACAGGTTGGCGCCGTGCTTCTCGTCCGAGAAACAATTTTAGCAGTGAGACAGCGAGCCTGTGGCTAATGGAACGAAGACGGAATCTTGGCAACGAGCCGAAAAACTGTGCCGCGAAGGTTAAAGATTCCGCGCCGATGGGCGTCCTCGGATTGATGGGAAACAACCTGAGGACGAAGGCGTCGTTTTTCATTTTTGGAACTGGAGGAGAGTTCGTCGGGTTCGTTCGCGTCTCTGTGTCTCGGTTTATCGTGCATCGCGCAGTCGTTTATTAACCCCATGTCTTACTAACAAATTAATTTCATGCGAACCGATAATTTCTTATTACAAATGTATCATCCGTATATAGAATGCGATTATTAGCGTTCAAGTTTTGATTGCGCTGCATACAGGACTCGGTATATGTAGATACGGTAAGACTGATCGGTCGTTATTAACTTTTGCCTTGGAACGCATGCATATTAATCATTGATGATGCATATTTATTGCATCGTGGATTGGATAAAAACTGTAACGAAGTTTCGAAGAAAGATATAAAAATGTATACAAAGCGAGACACGCTGTCGTTAAGCCACCTCGATCGTCTGTACGAGGATGCCGAGGCTCGCTACGATCAATCCTTCGTCCTATCTGCCGAGAATTAATAATCAAAACGTACAAGTCACATTGTACACAACGGGACTTACTACTTTCTATTTTTACGAAAGGCTATTTTTGACCATCGCTGTTCTCCAGCCGTGGGTAAACGTACAATCGAAGCACGATCGATCGAATTCCATCCACGGTTTAATGCCATGGTCTTCTACCAAAACTCGGCGACAAGAATTTATCGATCTTTACGCGAGAATCGTTCGTTCCCGCCAAGTCGCCGATTGAATGGAGCATAATTTTAGCCACCCTGGTTACGATAGTCATTCACAGCGATAATGATAAACACGACGCGATTCCTGACCGATGAACACGGTGCACCGACCTCGGTCTAGTCCACCCACGTGCAAGCATTTCCTGTCTTTCGAGGGCTCTATTCCTAGATTTCGCGCGACCGTCTCTTTCCAGAGATGAAAAAGTACGAACGCAGATGATAGATGTAGAATGCTCGAAGCACGTAGAGGAATAATTTCGCGATGACGCGGATACGTTCGGCTGGTCGATGAATCCGTGAATTTTTTTCACAAAAATAGATCAAGACTCGCGGCTGTTGCTGTCATTATTTTGGCGACTACCGTTCGCGATGAAAATCTCTATTTGGCAAACGAAGCCACGAACGGACGGGAGGAGTGACGCACGGGCCTCCGGAAATAAATTGGTCACGGCAGCATCACCCGAAAAGCATTTACGACTTCTTAACCTTGGTACAACGAGATGCTGAACGGGATCGTCGAATTAAAATTCTATTCGCAAGACGGAAGGTTTGCAAAAAAACTGCACTCGCCAACCGCGCACGATCATCAACATAGAGCGTTTGAAATCATTTTAATTCTGCGTGTGACTCTCGCCCTCGAACGATTTGCGTGAGTTACGCATCCCGCAAAAGTATTATCTGCGTTTTCCGATGTAGGACACCGATGAACCTGATCTTGTAATCGCTTCGTGCATCGTATAGTGGCACGAATGATTATTGAAACTAGTTGCGACCGCTTCGATCCAAAAGATATTCGAGGCATACGCTACAACGGGCTGGAAATAGAAGCTGTGCAATCGTTCGAACAGAAAATCCGATACGCAGGAGCGATCGTTCGTCTCCCAAGACAAACAATCTCGCTTCTCGTTGCTTTTGCATCGTGTGATGTGTTGCGGTGCAGTGGTTGTAAATCTCTACGAACGAAACGGTGGTGCTGGTTTCCAAGCTGTACACAAACATATATACTGCACGGAACTAGAAAGATCGACCCTGAACGACGATGGGGTAGAGCCGAGTCTACACGAAATTTCGTAGGTCGTTTTATTCAATTATGACGGACGTTCCATTTCTTTTTTTTTTTTTTTTTTTTTTTTTTTTTTTTTTTTTTTTTTTTTTTATTCGAACTTCGTCCAGAGCCGATCTCTGCAGCTCTTCGGTACACACGCATGCATGTTTAATATCGTTGCTCGGTGGTGTATTCTCGCCAAAGGGATTCTAAATACAGAAGAGAATGTGTCAACAGAAACGAACGACGATTAAAGTAAAGGTACACGGTCGAGGAGATGCTCGACCGCGGGAGGTTCAAGAACGTCGAGAAAGAGAGCCGGGTAAGTAAGCGTGTTTCGCGTCTCGTGGTTCTCGATTAAATTAAGTATATAACTTTTCCGAGTTCGACGTTTGGAGGAACGACAAGGTCGCGCGTAAACAGTAGGCAAAAGCAAACGCGGCGTGAAATATGGTCGGTTTACCTGGTTAAACGACGACATTCGGAAAAACATGTTTTCCTACCGGGAAAACTGAACGACGAATGTCAATATACAGGGTGTTTCTGAATTAAATGGGCAAACTTGAAAGATGAATATAGGATTCCAAAACAAAATTAAGAAATTTCCTCTAGAAATATTTCAGTGTTTTGCAAACGTTTTGTTTAAGAGCTACTGAATAATGTTGAAATTAGAGAAAATTGTTTGTTTTTTTGGGGGTCCTGAATTCATCCTTCGAGTTTGGTCATTTAATCCGGGAACACCCTGTATTTTCCGAATCCGAGGGGTTAGGTAAAATAAAGTTTAAAGAAAGACTGCAATTCCATCGCTCAGCGTAACGATAAATTACAAGAATCCCAGCGATTATTCAACGTTCCAGTTTCCACCGCGCGTGTTATCCAATTTGTCGCGACTCGATCCAGCGATTTCGAACATCGACGCGACAAAAGCGTCGCGACGGAAGCACGATTGACAACGATGCATCCGCGATGGGTCGGGCCGCAGCGTCGCGTGACAACGGTGCACCGTAGAATCCGTACAAGCGGAGGGTGTGGCTGTGTAAACTAGAAGGTGCGTTACCGAACATCGAACAATCAATTGGGTGCCTATGTAAAACGACCGTCAAAAGGGAGGATCGGAGAAACTCGGTACCTCCGGGTCCTGGATCTGCTCGGAATCCGCCGACGTACTCGACGTCTTCAGGATGCTGTACAGCTTTACGTAGGGGGCCTTGATCAGCTGTTAGCCAATATAATCGGCCGTTTTTAGCGATTTATTTTCTGGCTTTCAGTCCAGCATCCTCGATCCTCGCGAATAAAAATGGTCAGAGTATCCTCGCATTCGTCGTAACAGAAAAAAAAAAAAAAATAGGAATCCTCGTTTCCAAGCAATGACTAACATCGTCAAATATTTGCGCGTGTTTGCTCTTCTCAGCAAAAGTTAATAACGCGCACCGAGGAACTCTGAGAGCTTCGTGGCGTGGATCGAGACGCTGGGCATGCTAACGATAACCTTCGTTTGAAAAATGAAAAAATTCATCGGCCATAAAAAGAAAAACAGAAGCTCGGAGATGCTTGCTAGGTGAGAACAGAATCGATACTCGGTGCCATGTCGAAAAAGGGTGGTACGGTTTG